AATAATTTACAAAGTATTTTCACTCTCATACTCATTTTATGCTCATACTAATCTGTTTTGTCATTCAAAGTAGATATTATTCTGATTTTACAGGCAAAGAAGTAGAGACTGATTTTGCCAAGGCTCTGGAAGCTTCTAAGTTGGGGTATCAGGCTGTTAACTTTGTATCATTTATATGATATAATAAAGTTGTTAAGTTCTTTGGACATTTTGTTCTAAAGTCTGCAAGACCCATGTTAGAGAAAACAAATTCTCCAAAGTAAGTTAAATAAAAACAGTCATTTCTATAAGGCTATCACTAATTTTTGTTTGTCCCTTGTTTTGGATATTAAATATAATTCCTAGTAAGATCATGTTTCTTTGTTGCTACCCAAATAAAAGTATTTAGAATTTTAAAGAATATGGTAAGAATCTTATACTTTGTACCAGAAGAAACCATGAAAGACTTTATGTAATTATATACTAGTCTGAAGGTCTTTCTCAGTATACATAATACAAAAGCCATAAAAGAAAAGTTTAATTAATATAACCACATAAAACTAATTTTGATCAATGTAACTGTTTTAAGCAAAGTCAAGACAAAGGATAGACTGGGAAAGTGTTGCTATTTATGTGACATAGACTAAGTTGAACTTACTGAGAGCTTTCCCAGATGAAGAAAAGTTAACAGGGGTGGAGAATGCAAATTATTTCAGCATATGAGAAGTAATCAATTTCCCTCATAAAAGAAAAATATAGCATACAAAATATCACCCCTTAGATTAGCAAAGCTAAAATGTTTCAGCACTTTTGTGTTGGAGAAGGTGTGAGGAAATGGCACTCCATGTCTTGCTGTTGGGACTATTAACTCCATATTGGTTTCATGCAGGAAGGGCAATTTGCTATGGTCTGTCAGAATTGAAAAGCACATACTCTTTGACCCAAAATTCTGATTCTAGAAATTTGATCTCTGGATATACTTGCAGACACAAAATTATGTATATGCAAGGTCATTCATGATAGCATTATCATTTTTTAAATAATATAATAGTTTATTTTTACGTCATTTTGTGCCTATTTCCATCTCAGTTGTAATCCCTGTGGGCTTCCCATCACCAGATCACCGATGTGCCATCACCATAGTCCAATGCACTTCCCTCTGCCCACCATTTTTGAACCCACTCCCCATTCCACTCCCGTAAAATGTCTCTGGCATACAGTTGTTCATTATTATTATATATTTTCTCACCTGGTCCGTTATACTCCTGCTATGAGTAAAACCATCCGGTATTTTTCCTTTTCTTTCTGGCTTATCTCACTAAGCATGATCTTTTCCAGCTCCATCCAAGTTGCTGCAAAAGGCATGTGTTTATTTTTTTTTTTGGTTGCTGAGTAATATTCCATTTGAGTATATGTACCAATCCAGTCATCCACTTTTGGGCATTTGGGCCGTTTCCATGTCTTTCCAATTGTAAATAAAGCAGCACTTAACATGGGGGTGCAGGTGTCTTTTGGAATCAGTGTTTTTGTCTTTTGGGTAGATACCTACGAGTGGGATTGCTGGGTCATATGGAAGCTTCATGTTTAGCAGTTTGAGAAGCCTCCTAACATTTTCCATAGTAGTTGTACTTGTTTGCATTCCTACCAGCAGTGCAGGAGAGTACCTTTTCTCCACATCCTCGCCAACATTTGTTGTTGCTAGTTGTTTGAAGATGTGCCCTTCTCACTGGGGTGAGGTGGTATCTCATTGTGGTTTTAATTTCCATCTCCCTTATTACAAGTGATGTTGAACATTTTTTCATATGCTTGTTGGCCATCTGCATTTCCTCTTTGGAGAAGCATGACAGCATTATTTTTATAGTCTTTGTTAGGGACATAAACTTTCCTTGTATCTATATACTAGACCTCCTTTTTATTTTTCAGTATTGCTGTGTTTTCTGTTTTAACCAGTTTTACTAGTGATTACTTCATTGGCAAAAAATAGAATCTACCAGGATTGTTGATTTTAATCAGCAGAAATCTTCTATGACAGATTGAGGCAGAAAAGGAATGTATTCAGAAAAAACGTGGGTAACCTAAAATATTCAGCTGGGTAGCTAGAAAACTTGGCTTGGGAAATAGCAATCAGGATCAAAAACCAAATTTTATAAAATATAATTTCATTGAAACTTGTTTGTGAGCTAGTGTACTTTAAAACTCTTGTTTGCTTCAAGGAATACTTATTCTGTTCATTGGATACACACACACACACACATACACACACAATCAGTTTGTTAATTTTATTGTGTAGTTTTTCTTTCTGTTAATCTTTTTGTGTCCTTGATCTATTTTTAGTTTTTCTGTGTTAAAATTTCTTATTGTAACTTTGGATTTATTAATTTCTCCTTATTGGTTTTTGCTGCGCTGGCCGTAGGTTCATACAAGTTCATGATCATAATATCTCCTTGAAGGGTTGCCTTTCTAAGCATTATGTAATTCCCTCTTTATTCCTACTAATGCTTTCCTCTTGATTTTGCCAGGTACTGTTATGTGACTTTGGCAAGTCATTTACCTCTCGTTTTCTTTATTATGACTTGGGTATAAAAACTACCTTACAAAGTTTCTGTGAAGAGTCACTGAGGAAATATATTTGAGGTATCTTACATATAATAGATTATTTAAAAATAGAATGAAAATTATTTTTTTACTTCTAATGGTTTTACTTTTCTCGCCCTCCTTTTCCCTTTTTTTAAAGCATGAAATTTCAAATGCTATTTGTCTATAATTGGAAATATTTGTATAGGATATGACTAAAATAGTCTGCAGGATTTCTTTAAAATGGATGAAGATAATGGAATATTTGCCTCCCAAACAGGGTATAATGATTCTTTTTTATTTGGTAGAGTTTTAGAATTGTTTTTTAAAGATTTATTTATTTATGCATACAGAACTTGGGTGCAGTGGGGGTGAGAGAATTCACCAGACACAGAGTGGGGAACAAAACAGGCAAACTGATGAAGTACACTGCTGAGGGGAGCAGCGGGCGAGTCACGAGAGGCCTGCAGTGCCATGTGGTGGATCACCTCTGGGCAGGGATTGAGCTCACACCAAAGTGGCTGCTGTTAGCTTGCAGTGCTGTGCTTTAACCTGTTGCACCACTAGAGAAGGCCTTACTTGGTAGAGTTTTAAGTTACTATTTCCGGTATTTGCATTAGGGCTAATATTTCTAAGGATCATTTACATTCCTCAGGTATACTAAATACGAGTTTTTCTGAAATAGTTGGGACAGCTGAAAGAGGACAAAAGTCAACATTCTGAGGCTGCCACTTTTCTACAACAAATATTTATCAACTTCAGTGGAATACAGAATTATTAGTAAGTCTTAAAATACTGGGGTTAGATTTCTAAATATACATGGGAGCAATAAAAGTGTCACATCCATTTAAGGAAGCAGAAGTACTTAGTTCCCCCTTTTCAATAGTATTTATGGCTTTTTAAAAAAGGTTTTATTTATTTATGCCTACAGGAACTGGGGTACAGGCCAGAGGTGTGGGTGGGGAGGATGAGAGGATTTACCACAGACAGAGTGGAAAGCAGAACAGGCGAATTGACTGAAATACGTTGCTGGGGGGGAGCAGTGGTGAGACAAGAGAGGTCTGCTGTGCCATGTGGGTCAGCTCCCAGGCCAGGGATTGAACTGGTGTTGCAATGGCTGCTGATAGCATCATAGTTACTTGCATCACCAGGGAGGGCCCATTTGTTACTTTTATTACTGTTCTTAACTTGAATTTTTGCCATCTGTTTTTGTAACCACTGTATACTATGTGCCTCCTTGGATTTAGATATTTTAGATGTAAAAGTAGAGAAAATTTCAGTTGAGAAAACAACATAAAGGGTTTAAAAATATTTTATATATGTATATAAAATAAAATGCCTTGATAGTCAAAGGTTTAGATACATTGTGCTTTAGAAAGACAAAAAAAATTTAAATACTATAATAGTTTGTTTTTATATAATTTTGTGCATTTTTTCATCACAGTTATAATCCCTGTGGACTTCCCATCACCAATTCACCCGTGTGCCATCACTATAGTCCAGTGCATCCCCCCTACCCCCATTTTTTATCCCATTTGGGTTGATTCCATGTCTAGAAAGACAAATTTTTGATTGGTATTTGGAGACTGGTGAAGAATTTTCACCTTATAGGCTGATGAAACACTTCAGTTTTCAGGATAAAAATCAGATTATATACTGAAAATATCTACAGGTTACATATAGAAAAATGCTTTAGTTGCTATGTTGAAAAAGAAGTAGAAAAATATAATATTATGAATAAAATTTTGGCTCATTTAAAGTGTTACTTAGTGGGGCCCTCCCTGGTAACACAGCGGGTTAAAGCGCAGCAGGTTAAAGCGCAGCCCTGAGAAGCTAAAGCTACGGCAGCACGAGTTCTATCCCCGCCTGCCCCGGAGGTTGATCCACACGGCGTGGCAGACCTCTCCTGACCCGCATACGGCTCTCCTCAGCAGTGTACTTCGTCGATCTGCCTGTTCTGCTCCCCACTCTGTCTCTGGTGAACCCTCTCACCGCCCTGCACCTCTGGCCTGTACCCCAGTTCTGTATGTATAAATAAATCTTTAAAAAAAAAAAAGTTACTTAGTAACATTGAACCAAAAACTTTAAATAAGTTTTTCCTTGAGGGTTTTAAACGTTTCTTTATCTGTAAGGCCCTTCCAGACTTCTCTATGTAAAGTAAAATAATCTTTTTCATTCATTTTGTACTTATTTGCCTCCAAAGCATGTAGACCCACCAGTCATATTATATATACATATTTGTTTATTGTCTGTTTCCACTCCCCCCAAGATTTTAAGTTCCATGAAAGCAAACCTTTAACAAATATTTGTTAAATGAGTGAATGTATTATTTGCATTAAGATTACCACATATTTTTATATGGTTTATAATCTGGGGGGCAGCAGTAGGGCAAGCTCTTGTTACCTTCTGAGAAAGTCCTTTTTAAAAGTGTTTTCCTTCTTTTCCAGAGTTTGTATTTAGAGCACCAATCAAAATAAGCAAGCCTGGGGAACTTCATGAGGAATATGAAAGTCTGAGAAAGGTATAGTATACATATTATAGTGACGTTCATATTCTTAATGTATATTGAAATAATGACATTAAAGACTTTGATTTATTAGGGATTTTTAAAAATTTACCATGAAGAGCCTGTTTTTTCCTTCATACCACTTTAAACCACCCACTCAGATTCTATAGCTCTAGTAGAAGTAGAGTAAAACTTAACTAAGTAACCCCCTTTTATAGGTGTCCCTTCAAAAATGAAAATGTAACTCACAGGATTTAACATATATCTGCTGCAATAATTGACCAGCAAGAGACATATTTTTGGCATGAAATTGTTAGTTAAAACCTCACATTTAAGCTTTAGTAATAATGGTTGTGCTATTTTCCCTTATCTTGTAAGGTTCCTCTAATATGGTGTTATTTTTTATTGTTTCTCTTCTAAGTACTTCAGAAGAATTGTAACTTAGGCCAGGAAAGAGGTAGTGGAATAATTTCCCAGTGAGAGAACTTTTGTCATTCAGAAAGCTTTTAATTATATCCTCATCATTTTATTTTTGACATTTTCAAGCCAATTGAAATAACTTAGAGACATGAGACATCAAAAAGCCTGGTAAAAGAAGTGTGAGCTATGTATGCATCATCCTTCTCCAGTCCCTCTCCCTGTACCACCACTTCTCGCCCACCTTTATAAGTGATTATGTAATCATTCTACATGTGGATATTGAATATTTTATGAGGTCATGTTAAAAGGAAAATAGAAAATTACATAAATGTTATACAGTCTTTGGTCTTTTCTTTTAAATGAGGTTGTCAGATGTTGACTTGAGTTCTCGTGTTCCTCTTATTTATATTTTTATTACATTCAAGCCATTAGCTTGAAGATAGAGAAAAGGAGTTAGAATTAAAAAAAGGACATAAAGCAGAAGATATAATAAGAGTAGACTTTTTATAACCTTTGAGAGAGAGGAGGAAACCTTGGGAAAACTTTTATTTCTGTTAGAAGGGAGAGACAAGAAAATGACTTTTAATTAAACATGACAAATGGCATAATGTTGTTGAGTGAAAGTAGGATAATCTCATATAATATAAACTGGACTGTGTTTGAGAATGACCTATATAATTTGGTTTAAATTAAAGTTAGAGTTAACTATAATTGCCTAGACTGTATTCTGCCCCTCCAGTACCCAAGTCTACATCTATTGTATCATCCTGGAAAACAACAATCCAAGTCATAAAATCAAAAGGCCCTATGATAACCTATCCATACCATGGAATATTATTCAGCAATAAAAAGGAATGGCCCACTAATATTATGCTACCACATGGATGAACCTCAAAAATATGCTGAGTGACAGAAACCAGGACAAGTGAGCACATATTGTATGATTCCACTAATAAGAAATATCTCCAAGAAACAAATGTATAGCGATAAGAGATCAGTGATTGATTGGAGTAGTGCATGAGAATGAAGATTAACAGTAAGTGGATTTGAGTGATTGTTATTGCAGCAGTAAAGATTGCTAAAACTGATTGTGATGTGTTCCACAGATTGATAAATTTACTAAAAATAATTGAATTATGCACTTGAAATGGATGTTTTATGTAATATGTAAAATATGACTCAGTAAAGTTGTAAGAAACATTAAAGAGCAATAAACATTTGGATGGGAACCTTGAATTAATTCTTCACAACTCACCATAAATACTTGATGTGTAACATACTAATATCCTTTTTATTTAGTATACTTTATTCTTGTTTAACAGTAAAAACCTTTAAAAGGGTTGCAAAAAGTTAATAAGAAATTTTATTACCTTAATTGTAGTTTTAAAGGTATTTGTTTGCTTAATATTATAGATCCTCCTTTTTCTTACTTTCTACTCTCTCCTAGATATAAATAATGTTTAATATATATTCTAGCTACTTTACACATACACATACATATGTTTTAGTGTTTTCATTGTAAATGAGATTATATTTATTCATGTATCAATATTTATTTATTCCTATGTGTCAGGTACTAGGGTTTCAGTGCTGAAGAAGATACCTAAGGTCTTTGCCCTCAAGGAGATTACTTTTTAGTGGGAAGGACAGACATAAATAAGCAGACAAATATGTAATATATATTAATAAAATAAATTAAGAGGAGTTATAAGGCAAAGGGAAACTTTGAGGAGACACAAAAAGATTGTTTTAGATAGAATGATCAGGATGGTCTCTCAGACAAGGCAGTATTTGAGTTGATACTTGAAAGAAATCAGGAATAGACAAAGTAAAAGTATGAGGAACGAGCATTCAAAGGAAACAGCATATACAAAGGCCCTGAGACAACAAGTTTGACTTGTTTAAGAAACAGTGTGGCTAGAGTTGAATGTGTAAGTGGTGAGTGGAAGGGTTCTAATGGGGATTTGGTGGATGAGTTGGGAGCCATATCGAGGATAGCCTAGTTGACTTAATAGGAGACCTAACTTTATTGTAGGTGTGATGGGAAACTAATAATATGATCTGACTTACACTTTTCAAAGGTCTTTCTAGTTGTTGTGTGGGGTCAAAATTATAATGGGCCTATGAGTTTAAAATTATATTTATTAATATAGAATAATAGAGACCAAAAATTAATAATTAAAACTAATTTTATTTTTTCATGAAACAAACAAACAAAAAAGATAATCAAGGGCTGAAATGACAGATCCATTATTATCATCAAAGTATCAATCAGAGATTCAAGTTTCTTTCTGTTTAGACATCTTCAAAACAGATGTCTAAACATCCGTCATATGAGATGCTCAGTCCTCCTCTGGAATAATATATAGATAGAAGACAAGGGTAGAAGCATCCCTATCTCCTGAATTAGATCCTTCTAAAGAGCTTTCGCCAAAGCTCCACCAAGTGACTTCACCTCTCTTTTGTAGTCCAGTGTCACAGACTCCCTCCAGTTGCCAGGGAGGCTGAGAGGTATAGTGTTTTAGCTGGGTACATTAACTTCCTAAAATCAGAGTTCTCGATAAGGAAGGAAAAAATGGAAATTGGGTATGCAACTAACAGTCTTTGCCTTATGGGGCAAGAATAGCAATAAGACCAGCTAGAACATTTTTGGAGAAAGTGATGTTTTGGGTTTAGCCAGGGTTAGGGTTTTACCAGAAATTAAGATAGAGGGAGACATGCAGTGGATTTGTGGAATATGCAAATAACTTGTTACAGTTTTGTATCATGGTTATTTAAGGATGGAATTGAGAACATGAGAGTTGTGATGGATAGTGAAAGAGTGGTATGGTCAGTGGTTTGGGAGTTTCATGATAATAAAGAATCTTTAAAGTAGAGTCACTAGCACACAAGCTGGATAGCTAGGAAATGGTGATCTAAATAAAGTCAGAGGCTTAAAGGTGAAGTTTTCTATAATCAGAAAACTGATACAAAACCTCATGGTATATCTTTATGAATAGGGTAAACCATACAATACCAAGAAGGAAAATTTCTCTCAGAAATACGTTTTAATTTTGACTGCATGGGAAAAAAACAATTAGCTTATAGAATGCTCTAAGTATTTTTTTTCCCCTCTGCTATTTGCAACTTCTCAGATGAGGAAAAATAAATCAAGTGATGTACTTTTTTTTTTTTTGAAGACTTATTTATTTATGCATACAGAACTGGGGTCCATGCCAGAGGTACAGGGGCAGTGAGAGGATTCACCAGAGACAGAGCGGGGAGCAGAATGAGTAGATTTACTGAAACACCCTGTACATTGCTAAAGGGAGCAGCAGGAGATTCCGGCCTGGGTTTGAACTCAGGCCATGGTAGTGAGATTGCTGAGACTTGACCTGTAGGACTCCAGGGAGGCACAACCTACAATAAGTACTGTACTTATTGGGTTATTCCTAAATAATACTTGGCTTTCATAATAATCCATGTGTAAGAATTAGTTTTTACTAGTTTTATTGAGAAATAATTAACATACATCATTGTGTAAGTTTAAAGCATACAAATGATGGCTTGATTTATGTATATTGTGAACTGATTACCATAACATGTTAAGCAAACTTCCTTCTCATGTAGATGCTATAAAAAGAAAAGGAAAAAGGAAAGAAATTTCTTTTTATAGTGAGATCTATTAGGATTTGTTTACTTAACAGCTTTCCTTATAGATCATACAGTTATCATTGTTGTTGTATGGCATCCCTAGCACAACTTATAGTTGGAAGTTTATTCTTTTTGAATACCTTACTCAGGTTCTCTCCCCTCCCCCCATCTCTGGTTAAGGACAAGTTTGATGTCTTTGTCTATGAATTTTGTTTGGTTGTATGTTTTTAAAGAGTCTGTCTTTAAGTGAGATCACAGAGTATTTGTCTTTCTGTGTCTGACTTATTTCACTCAGCACAGTATCTTCAAGATCTATCCTTGTTCTCCAAAATGGTAGGATTTACCCCACCCCTATTTTTTAATAATATAATAGTTTATTTTTTTATTATTTTTTTAAAGATTTATTTAT